AAAAACACATTTCAAAACCACATTAGATTATGCCATTTACATGTAACTGTATAGATGAATCACACTATAAAATGACATCATTTGTACATTACTTCAGCTATGAAATTACATGTATTAGTGCTAGCCAATTTTTTAAGCCAATCACCGACGAGGATTTTTCAAATTTTCAGGTTTCAAATCTTAATAGAACAGATTTTATATAAACTGGACGTTTTATATTATAAAACGCAAGTGGGCATAGCACTGAGCCGGTTAGAGTGCATATTGGATGTTCTTCGTAAATAAGAAAGCTACAGTCGCTTCGCAAGCTCCGCTCCTTTTTAGCTTTCTTATTTACGAAGAACACCCAATACCACTCTAACCTATACTTAGAAAATCTGTACTAAAGATATAACACTATGTAAGTAAAGAAAAATAATACATGAAAATGCTGATAAGATAATTATGTTACTAATGATGACCATTTATAAATAATATACACAGAACAACAAAGGGGAGTAATTCATTAAAAGCCGAGACTAGAGTTATAGTTCTTGGCAAGTGATATACAATTATGACAAGGACATGTGAAAAGTTTTGGTATCAAACCTTACACCAGAAATGTTTTAAGTTCACTAAGGACTACATTTTAGTCAGTATCCATGTTATAGGTTCTGGATTACAAAACTTGAAATCTGTAATAAATTCATTGATTTTGTTTTAAATAAATTACTGAGCATACCGCATTAATACAAAGGATTGTCATAAAAAAAATGCAAGTTCAATAAATCAAAATCATATATGTTCTACATAATATTATGAAACTACAGGGTTACTCAATCAAAGCAAAAAGAAAATCCATTCGAGACACATGAAATTGTACATTAAAGTAAATCTCTTATAATAATATTATACATAAAATAACAATAAGTTCATCATTCAAAAAGGAAATATATTAAATATAAAAAGTATGAAAAAAAACAAATATTGACTAGGGTAATATGTACAGGTACTTGTCACATGTTTATAATTTCCTTATGAATGATAACAACAACAAATGCCATTTGTTAAAACATGTATGGTTTCTTATGAAAGTCATATAAGCAATACTGTATATCTCCTAATACAAGACCCTCTGGGGCCATATAAAAAGCTAACAGGGTGCTTTTTATTTGACAGCCCTGCCGACTTCACATCCCCTAATTAAGTTGAAAGGATAACAGTTCTTTTATCTTGTAAAGTACATCACTAAATTCATACACAATAAACAATTATTAATAGAAAAATTGCATCTCATGCCAATTAAAATGTCAGACAGTTAAATAAACTATGTTTAGAATTGTGAAAACACTAGTAAATCTATGAGGGCATGAGAATGCTGTTAACTAGCAGACAAAATAAATACTTTGAAGTAGCAGACATACTGTATCGAGGCCTACACCCCACCAAATACTAAAATCTCACTTCAGACTTCAAAGATGGCCGAAAAAATGAAATTCTGTACCGATATGGAAAACTTGCACCTATGTAATAATCACTAATATATATACATGAGAAAAAATGACCTACATTCAGTACATTGTTGACATGGACATTAAAGGTCAACAGACAAACCAATTTACGAATTAGAAATTGTCTTTTTTAATTGTTCAAAATAAAACCGTGATGCTGATAAAACATAGTTAGAAGTAATTTTTGTAGGGTTGACACCTGGCTACACCAAATGGAAAATGGGGAGGGGCTAATAAAGGATAGGGTGCTTGTAATAAGAGAAAAACAGTATAATTAAAGTCAAATCTTATATATTCATTAACTGTGCAATTAAAACTCTCTTCTTTTTTTTAATCTCTGGACCATTCTGGATAAAAATAAGAAGTGTGCCAGAAAAATTGTTTTCAAAAATATAAGATTCTGGTTAATAAACATAAATAAAGATTTTAAATTCAAATCCAGCAGTTTTGTTTTTGGGTTTTTGATTGACAAATAGATCACTGAAATGATTTTATAACTCAATCTTTACAATAACTTTGCTTCAGTGCAACTGCATCAGACAAAGCCCTGGTCAAATTTTGAATCTGTGCTCACAATCAACCAATCAGAGACCAGAATTTGAAATTTGAAAAAATAAAGTCTCAAGATCAACAAAAATCAAATTGGTGATGAGACTTATATTGCAGCTAGAATGATATTTTTAATATAATAAACTAGTTTTTTTCTATATATTTTAATACACACACATGTATATAGCAGCAACCTTTGTATGAATTAAAAAAAATATACAAAACACACAAAATAGGCGTAGACTATAATAAAACTAAAATCTGACAGTTAAAGGTTTTGTTTGTTTTCACAAATGTGTACATGTGACTGGCAATAAACAATACTGATTTATACATGTATTTACAAAAATGTAAAAAAAATGCATACATATCTTTATGTAAATATACAACTTCCAAATATGACTGAAAATTTGCATTTTATGCACAGGAATGAAAAAAAATGCAGTGATGGATGATTTTGATAGGAAATCTTTACTAACATCAGAGTCTCTATCCTTCACAACACATAGTGAAGGACAGAAAGTTTGATAAATGAAAATCTATGACGAATACCGAATGTAATTGGTAAAATCTAGTTTTATAAATGAAAATCTATGCCGAATACCCAATGAAGTTGGTAAAATCTAGATTTATAAATGAAATCTATGATGAATACCCAATGAAGTTGGTAAAATCTAGATTTATAAATGAAAATCTATGACGAATACCCAATGAAGTTGGTAAAATCTAGATTTATAAATGAAATCTATGATGAATACCAAATGAAGTTGGTAAAATCTAGATTTATAAATGAAATCTATGATGAATACCCAATGAAATTGGTAAAATCTAGTTTTATAAATGAAATCTATGATGAATACCAAATGAAGTTGGTAAAATCTAGTTTTATAAATGAGAATCTATGATGAATACCCAATGAAAATAGTAAAATCTAGATTTATAAATGAAAATCTATGATGAATACCCAATGAAAATAGTAAAATCTAGATTTATAAATGAAAATCTATAATGAATACCAAATGAAGTTGGTAAAATCTAGTTTTATAAATGAGAATCTATGATGGTTATGGAATGAAGTTAGATGTGCCTCTTCTTTTTACATGTCGAGTATATTTTGCTATAATTAAATTCTTTATCTGAGTAAAGTTAAATATACTGGTATCATAAGAATATATTGTATGTATAACTTGTTCAGAATCAATGCCATACCATGCCATGCTTAAAAAGAAAATGTTGCACACAAAAATATGATAAAACTGCCATGAAAAAAATAATGATTTTAATGCATTGACCAGTGCCATAAATTTTCATTTTTTTTTTAAAGTAATATTTTTAGGCCATACCAAGTTCGTTTTTTTTTTCTCCAATTTCCGTAAAATTTTGTATCATTACTTTGATTTCACATTCATGAAAACTTGTTACTAATAATATTTTCATGCTTATCATTACCTTTTTTTTCTTTTGTTCATAAAAATTTCACCCAGACTTCAACATTTTTTCAACTAGCCTATGCATCAAGTAGAAATACACATGTATGTCAACCTACACACAGTCACAGTTACAGTGGAATACATAACTATAAAAGAAAATATTATAAGCAAGACTTTGTATATTAATGAGCAAATTTCAATAAAAAAGTCAACAAACAAGACTTTCAAATACCCATAGTTATTTCTTTTTGGATTTCAAATTGATAAAGTCTAAAATATAAATAAACAAGAGCTGACAGTAGGATGGCATGCTTGACAATTAGTAAAACAAAAGCCTGGACAATGAAATTATTAACAAGGAGAAAGATTTCATTCAAAACTTGTGTGAACTTTTTATATAAGAGCAGTAGAAAAAGTTGCAATTATAATTTTAACAAAAGTGTTATACCAATACCTGGGTGAGTAGGTTAGCTCCACTGTTATTTAAAAAATAATGAAAATCAAGCCATTTCAATTATACAATGTAGTGTAGGAACATTTTTCATTATTCAAATTTACAACAATTTTGTAAATTTTGTATTTTGGACATTATGTCATTCTTTGAAGCTGCATGTATCTATGTACTATTTCCTACACTTACCTTGATACCATTACACCAACCTATTTATAGACTTGGTTAAACCCAGGAAATAGTAAACTCTATTTTTAGATTGATCAGGCTTGAATTTCATATATTAGGTCATTGACTGTTTATAAACTTCAAATATTTATAAACACTGAAGAAGACTCAAGCGAGTCAAAACATATTTTTGCCAAATTTATACATGTATGTTAATTCTCTACTTAAAATCTAGGTGTCAACATGCTATTCCAACATTACATCATTTTTAACCAACATAAAATAATTTTTAAATAAATCCATTAAAATATAAATATAATTTTTTACTATGTCTTACCAAAAAACATATGAATTCCTTTTTTTTAAGATTTTGACTTCATTTTACATTGAATTTGGATAAATTGAAATAATAAATATATACATTTCTCATTACTTAATAATCACCTTATTGAATGCCAACTTTCTAAGTGCTGATACTGAATTCAAACACGTGGATGCCATGGTAAAATAAAAATTGCACACAAAAATATCATAACCTGCCATGAAAAAAAATCAAAACATTTAAGAAAAAAAATTTCCCTTTCCAATTTTCATACCCTTTTCTTTGTATTGAGCACAAAAACCTCATAAACTGCTTTATGAAAACATTTTAAAAACTTTTTCGTTAAAAAAAATTTCCAAATAAATTTTTATATAAGAAAAGGGTTAACTAAAAACATAAAAAATTAACAGTCTTTTTAACTTTATTTTTTTACCCGTTTTAAATTTAAAAAATAATCCAAATAACTTTTATTCCCGCTGTTTTTAAACCCAAAACCGTGCATTGTTTACTCCCTTTTTAAAACCTTTTTTTTGGTTTTTTTTTCTCCCCCAAATATAACCCAAAATTTGTGGGAGGTTTTTTTTTTTCACCTAACACCTTTTAGGTTTAAAGAGTTTTAAAAAGTTTTTGAAAAGAGGGGATCTGTTTCGGAAATTAAATTTAAATTTGAAGCCCGCAATAGGCCGTTGTAACTCTTCTTCAGGTTTTGGCATATTCACTGCCTCGTCATATGAAGGGGGGGATAAATCATACGAGGGTGGGATTAAATCATTACCGCTCACATCAATATCAATGTCATCATCATCATCGACCATTAATTCACCGCTACTTGACAACCCACTAGCACGAATTTGGGGTGCGAGTCTAGACGTTGAGTCTGAAAGCGGTGAATTGTGTCTATGGGCCCCTAAATTAACATTATGCACATGTCTGGTACGGGGTGTTGAAGTACGACTGTCAGGACGTATTACAATGTCTCTATCACTAGATCTTATATGTGATGTCTGATGATGCGGGTGGGAGTGACTGTCATGTGACTCTATGATTTCTCCGTTAGGCCCGATATCAACAACATGAGCAAAATCATCGTGATTTCTGTGGCAAACAGTACATAAACCATCAGTCCCTAGTGTACCTGTAATTAACAAGACCGATCAGTGATCACATATATTGTCTGATGATAGCCAATTAAGAAGTTGCATGGGTGCAAGTTAAAATCCAGTCAAACATTAAAGTTTCAATTGTTGAAAAAATTAATAAGATAATTCTTGAAAAATAAGGTGAAACATTTTTTTCTCATTATTTCTTTTGTTTAACCCTTTACCTCATATATACGCGAAACAACTCACTTTCGACCCCCCCCCTTTTTTTTAGGCCTGAAATAGTGAAAAAATGTACTATTTGGGCCCCAAACACATATTTTCGTTTGAGAAATGTTGACCCCCGTCCAAAAGATACATCAGGGGGTTGCCAGAAGGGGGATGTGCCCCCTTCTGTTTGGGGGGATTGAAGGGGGGTGGAGTCCCCCTCATCGCCAAGAAAATTTTGGACTTGTGAGAGGCTAAAAATGACCCCAGGTCGATCATAAGGTAACGTGTAATCAACGCTGAAAAGCCTTTGACTCTATCTCAATCCCTTGAGAAGTTGCAGCACTTTGAAATAAATTTTGATGGAAAAAATTGAGGCAAAATAGTGATTTTTGGCAATTTTTAGATGTCCCCTCGTTGCCATGGTAACATGAAATTTAAGACTGAGCATGTTGTTACAAAGGCAATGGTCCAGTCAACATTTGTGCCAACTTTGATTAGTATTGAAGCATTTTTCATAGTTTCATAGCAGTTTGAACTTGTAACAGGAGGCTTTTCAGTGAAAACGGCAATTTTTCACAATATGCTCATGAGGGAAAGGGTTAAAAAAAATTTATACCTTAGCGGCAGAAGGGTGCGAAAAAGAACAGCCTTCTATGAAAATCAGCAATGTAATTAATCTCCACTAAAAACATAGTGTTAGTGATGTCCCTTATTCTATCCTGTTAGAATCAAAGTAATATCTGTTTGAGCTGTGTTTATCGGCTATTTAACACCAGTTTGTTGTTTTGATGTGTAGGAATTGACCACAGAGGCTGTTTCTTAAACATACGTAACGATAAAAATTATCATAAACTTACCAACAATACATGTTTGACTATGAACACTGCCGGTTTGGTCTATTTCTCCTAAAGGGAGGTTTGAGTATCTGGTCGACCCTAGTGGTAAATCTTGAATCTGATGAGCCAGGTTACTTTGTCGGAACACATGATCAGTTTCAAACTGTTGTTTCGAGAATCTTTTTATCATTAAGCACCGGTACGATATACAAGCAGCTCCGATCAGAAATATGGCAGCTACCACACAGATACCTATAACAACAGCTGACGATATACCTGCAGCCACTTCCTCATGATCTGTTAGATAAATAATATAAACATTAACATTTCATCTGCTGAATTTGTGAAATATCTTGTACTTTTTTTGAATTTAGTTTATATATATAGAATTTATTATTGTTTGATTATGTATAAAGATATAAGCTAAAAAACATTCTCTTGAGTCCGTTTTTGGAACCAACTAGTATTAGGCAATAAGAATGTAGGTAGTATGTGTGTGTGTGTGTGTATTTGAGTTTATTTATACTCCCCACCAGTTGCCCATATGGGTGAGTCCGCCAGAATAGTATCAGTCATTTTAGATTTTTGGAAGATAGTCCAAGATACAGTAACAGATACAGAAAAAATGCTGCCAAACTTCCAGAAACACCTCTTGGTTCTTTAACATGCCAAGTGTTTAAGCATTCATACACAGAACCTCAATTTAAATTCTCATTCAAAAGACTGATAAGTAATTTAAGTTGGCCAGCCTAGAAATCGAATCCACACTGTTGAGATTACACAACCGATTGAGCTATGCAGGCTGGCTAAAAAGGTAGTTGCCAGAGATTGTATTTTAGTCGAGGTAGATCTGCAAGAGAATGCTAAGATTTGTGCAGCCAACATTAGAGAGACTGGTTAGACACCCGCCTTAAACATTTAGCTATTTCACTAATTGTAGAAAGCTCATAAATCAAAAGTCAATTTCCTATATAAACCTCCAATATTTTTGAGACCTCCGAGACAACTGGTTCAATAACAAGGCTTGATAACATTCTGTTTTACTTCTTTACATAGTAGATCTGATTTTACTTAATGAAAGAATTTAGAAGAAAACATTAGCAGCATTCACAATGTCAAGTATATGATTACAAATCATACTCACCTTTCTTAAACTTCTGCCCTGTTCTACATTGTTATAATTTAATCAAGCAAAAAGCAAATGGATCATTAAAAAAAAATGTCTCACATAAAGCAAGCAGCAAAATTTGTGTAAAAATCTCACATATAACAAATATTTTTTTATTTATTTATATTTTTGGGGGTTGGGTTTTACCTCACACCAACACAGTAAAGGTCATATGGCGACTTTCCAGCCTTACTGGTGGAGGAAGAATTCAGGTGCACCTCTGTACATTATTTCGAACGGGCACCCTAGTAGAACCACTGATATTCCGTAACTTAGCTGGATATAAATAATTTATTACCATCCCAACAAATATACATCTGTTTATATGTAAATTCAGACTTAAATTATTTACACAATTTTCTGTGTCACTCATTTAACATTTATCAATGAAAATGAATGATTTCCAATTAGTCGTAAACATAATTAGAAATTTAAGTAAATTGCACAGCACAACTGATACTGGATAAATCAATACGGTATTACACTATTTACAGATAACATTTCATGTAATTATGCAGTACACATTTTGTATGAAAATAACATTTGACATGACATAATTATACATAATTATACTTTCATTCATTGTTAAGTTCCATTAATAATTAAGTGTTGTAAACGTAAAAACGAAGTTAAATCAACTTATTGGAAAATGGCCGGGCTGGTAATTTCAGAACATAAAAGACTGGTATATTTCAAAATCGCATTTCTTTACACACATTTGTTTTACTATTACTAAAAGTAACCCCTACACTTATAAATCTTCTTTTACAGATAATAATTATGTTTCAAGGCACCTCATTAAAATCTCTTTGTAAAAGTATGATTATAATTCCTTGAGAAAAGTACGAGTTAAGCATGGAAGATACTATATATCTCCAGTAAGAAGGCCTGCTGACATTCATCTATCTAATAGTAATAACAAAAGTTTTTCATCGGAAATCTTTGTTAAAAACTCGCAAGACTTCAAATGTACTTTATATTAATTAAAACCTATACGATGAGAAATGAACATCTAAATATACATTTATGATTGTCACTCTTTTCTATCATGATATACATGTATATTAAAAGGGAAAAACCTGTACTTACCAACTAAAGTGACGTTCAATATGAAGTTATAATCTAGCAAATGTCTGTTTTCTTTGAGTAGGAATATTTTTATATTGTTGTTAGCATCACCATGATACTCTAAATTTGATGCTGGCTTTGTATGGCACGAGAAATTAAACTGAAATCAATATTTTTATAATATACATTTTTGTATATGCTATTTAAAACATAAATTAAAACTGTTCTAATATTAGTTCTGTGAATTGGCTATGACATTGCAAAAATCATTGCAATGCTAAAAAGACACAAAATTGGACAATTTTTTTCAATGGCCTGTAGAACTATTTATCCTCAATATAATTATTGTTTTCAAATAAATACATGGTTAACATGAGACCTACATGAAGATTCACGAAGTCGAAAACGTTGCCAATTCAAACACTTCATGGTCAGTCTCTATATTGACAGCTAAGCTTCGATAGAAACCATCTTTTCTAAAACCAATATTATACACGCCTAGTGCTTTATTATTAATATCATTACATGTATTTAACAAGCAGATTTTATCTAAATTAATGGCATATTTAAACTAAGAAAAAAATACAATATTCTTTCTGTAAGAAGGGCAAACATTTTATTTATATGTTGTAATAATGGATTTAGAGCATATCAGATGCTTACCTTTAATATGAAAAAAAAAGTTGAGTGTCAAATACATATACATGTAATTTGTCATCAAAGTAGCAAAATAATTTTTTTGTCTTTCATATAAAATACTAAATCATGACTAGGAATCAAAGGATGGCTTAGCCATATAGCCAATGTGTAGCATATAGACACAAAATATATAGTTTTCAGTAAATAAAAATACAAGCATTTATAGGCTTTATGCGCCTTTAACATTATTATTTTATAAGCTGATGGTATAATACATACTAGCGTTGAAACATCTGTATCAAAAAATGTCCTCGGTGATTGTTCCACTGCTAGATATACTCCACAAGATGTAATATAGAATGATTCTATTTTTAGTTTCACTGTTTTTTTAGTTGAATCAGGGTCAGGCCCTAATTTTATGACACATTCTGGGAACAGTCTGTTTCTTTCCACGCTGCTTTTGGCATTAATTAACACAACATCATTTTCTAGAAGCCATGGTGGGGTGAATACATTAGCTGATTGACATATATTTTGTTGATCAAGCGTATCTGTAAAGTAAGAAATACACACCTGGAAATAAGTTAACCACACCCCAGAAATTTAAAATTGGTTGTGATTGAAAGCACTGTGAAGAGATGACGACTATTGAGCTAAGAAATAGAAATCTGATAAGTAGCGATACCAATTTTGTAATCATATACCAGTAAATTTATGAGATTAGTTTATTCTTAATCAAATTATTGAAGCATAAGCAAATGTGTTGTTTTTTACACAAAATTTAAGTGTGCATGGTGTTGGGAGCATTTACAAAACATTTACTGGTGGATGTTTTTGGTAAATGTTGAAGATTACATAACCTAAAATAACATTATGTAGCCAAATTCTTAATAACGTGTGTAATTGCCACATGCCTGGATGATAGCCACATAACTTCTCCTCATACTACCATGTAAGGCATCTAATATGATTTTGAGGTAAATTTTGCCATTCGTGGTGCAGTGCTTGTTCCAGTTGTTGCAGGTTGACTACAGGTGGTTTGTACCATTGTCCAAATAAAATTTCAGTTATGGTCATATCAAAAATGCCGGGTGTGAGGAGAAGGGTTGAAGCTATCATCCAGGCACAGATTCTAAAAGTTGTTTTTGGGAGGGTTTTTTGGTGAAGTTGTAGAATTTAAAACTGTTACCATATGAATTTGTATAGAAAATGCATATTTCTCGAATGGCCTTTTATGAGTCTCTCCTTATTTTACGACTAGTTTGAATCTAAATGTATGCTACTGTACAAAATGCATAAATGGAAACATTTTTAACTTTCTAGTTAACATCATTTACTGCTTAAGCATGGTTTTCCTCTTTTCTTTATACACTTGCGAAACTAAAACTTATATATAAATTAATATAATGGCATTTTTTGGGGCCAAAGAAAGCAAATACTTACATCTTGAAACTTTTCCAGACACTTCAAATGTTTGGGTTATTAAAACAGCACCAAGAAGGCGAACCATCCACATCTGAAATTAGTTAATACAGAATTTATGTTACTTTCATTCTGTAGGAAGATATAAACTAAAAGAAACACCATCAGATATGTTCATGAAAAAAAAATCAGTATTGAGCAATAAGTCTAAAGATCCTTGGTCAAGGAATAGTTGCTTGCTCCTGATTGGTTATATACTCATATGGAGACCAAGTCTAAGAATACTGGCCCGACATGTGACCATTTGGTTATGCCACCACACCTGAAATTTCAAAGGCAAGTGACATACATGTATCATTTTGCAGTTTTATGTAAGAATTTCATCTCATTTATAAATTATAATAACCAGTACTTACAACTTTTATTTGGTTTTGGTTGGGCATTACGTCGCGACAACACAGCAGAGGTTATATGGCGACTTTCCAGCTTTAATGGTGAATGAAAACCTCAGGTGTCCCTGCATGCTTTACTTTAAGCACAAGTGGGCACCTTAGTAGAACCATCAATGTTCTATATGCTAGCTGAATAGCTTCCTCACATGAATAAATCCACAAGTTGTTTGAAGGCAATGACCTTCACAACTTGGCCATGAGCTCCGCTTACAACTGCACACAGACATAAACTGGATATTCATAAAAACATATGTCAAACATATAGATTGTTGTATGTAATTTGTTAACAATAGTATGTAATTGGCTTATTTATAAAAATTTATACTTTATGCCATATATAATATCTATTCTATATCTCCTACCAAGTCAAAGATAATTATTGAAAGATTGTATTGGATTGGTTGAAAATGAAAGGAAAACTAAATATTTACTTACTATCTTATACATTTTAATTTAAGAGTTTTATCATACAGACATCTGTAGTTATTAAGGAGAATATAAAAAACTATTAAAGTAAAATATAATAATTGTCACAATTGTGTGTTAATTTATTTGAAAGATCTGAAAGTAATTTAATACAGGTGCATGTATTATCAAAACAAATTCAACTTAACCTATTAAGTCTTATTATAAAACTATCTATCATTTAATAATATATTAATACATGCACACTGCAGGGTGTTCAGAAGTCATGAAATCCTGAGGGTCATTTTGCCTAAGTTTTACCGACTACACGGCTAAATCCCCATGATTTTAACAAAATTTGACTCTCCAGCTAAAATCCTGAGGGTCAAATCAGACCTTTTGGAAATTTGAAGGGTCAAAGAGTCATTTCAAGGGTCAAACGGACACGCAGCTGACTTGTTGTAAAAGTCAAATACAGAGAAAACAAATCAGTTAAGGCCACTATTCATTGATATATAGTTTTTCATATCGCAGACCCTATTTTTTGGCAAATAAGAAAAAACAATTGAAATTTGAAGAGTAAAAAAAAATTTATACCATAAATTCTATTGTCCTATCAAAATTTAGCGGTGTTCAATTCTGGAGTGTCACGATTTGAAACTTACTTAGATTTGCAGAGTTTCATAACAAAAGCAAGATGACTTTGCTGCGCTTTTTGTTACTGCATGTCTTAACTGCATGTAATGTTTACGTAAATTAACACACAGTGCTTGTCAATAATTTTAGTTAGTAAATCCTACTTAAATAAATATGCAGTCACTGCCAATTCGAAGCAAGAACATATTTGTAATATCACTGTTAGTCCAACTAATTAGTCTCGATGAAAAGACATCAAGATAATTTTTCTATCTAACCTTCTGACAGTATGAAAAAAACAGTCTGTAAAATGGGTCAAACTGTTCATGCCTAATTATTTAAGCTACTAGGATAACTTTATAGTGTATGAGTTTCCCCAAAATAGATGTCTCAATATTTCGACTACAAGACCTAGGGTAAATCCCGGTAAATACGGACAATTCGGTAAATACGGACGCGAGCAACATAAATATCATTACCACCAGCGCTTGACAAACTGTAATGTCTATTAATGACGATGTCGCTTCTTTTAATATTCGTGTTCGAATATATCTAACAGTGATGATGTCATAAGGTATGTATGACGTCATTTCCTTTCTTTTAAACCAACCATCTACGCTTCCAGGCTATTTTTTTCAACATTTAAATCAAAGATATACCAGTCACCTTGGTTTTGAGGTCTCAGTTTTGAATTTATTGTATAGCCTTCTCTTTAAATTTGATAGATTTTTCTTAAATTACATTTATTTTTTTTAAAAATGTACTTGCACAAGACATTTTAAGATTAACTTAATAGATATTTGCAAAAAATAAATCGTCCGTATTTTTTCCTACGACTTTTTCTTCAGTACTGAAAATACAGACAACCTGATCGAAGAGCAAAATTTTTACGAGATTCAAATAAAAAAAAAATAAAGGCATTTTCTCAATTTTCAATGCATAGAACTGACAATGTTTTATAACAATAAACAACTACTCTTAATCTATCTTATAATCATTGCACACGCGCTGAATTTCAAACCTGACCCTTAATATGGGCTATAATTACAAGGCCACTTCCTCAAGGCCACTTCATCATGCTAAATTTATACCATTTTAATCTGTTTCTAATTAACCTATTATTCAAACATATCTTAATCAAACCTCTAATATCTTGGTCTGTCAAAAGTACATATTTATTTCCCTTTGCTCTTCCCTCTTTGACAATTTTCATTATAACTATAATTATATTATTTCATCATCCCAACCATTCCTTCTTTTTCAGGATGCCTAAAAAGTATACTTATAAAAATAGGGGGAAAACTATGAAATATGAACAAACGTCCCTAGAAAACGCCATTCGAGCTGTTGAAGCCGGGATGTCGGTACGAAATGCGGCATAACAGTTTAATGTGCCGAGGTCAACCATCGGTGACCGCAAGTCCGGAAAGCATGGTCTGAACACAAGTCATGGCAGACCCCCAGCATTACCTGCTGCTGTAGAAGCAAAAATTGTAGGTAGCATAAAGGCAGCTGCTAAACTTGGAGTTGGCCTTAGCCGTAAACAAATCTTGAGAAGAACACATGTGTTGTGCGACCGGCTTAAGACTAAGTCCAGTTATAATGACTTCAAAGCTGGAAAAGCATGGTTCGAAGGTTTAAAGCGCCGATTCCCGGACCTTGTTTTGAGAAAGCCCGAAAAATTGTCTTCTGTAAGGGCACGCATGTTAAATCCAGAAGTGCTTGGAAAGTACTTTGATACACTAGAGTCAGTTGTTGCTGCAAATAATCTGCTGGATAAGTCGCAATACATCTGGAATTGCGATGAATCCGGCTTTAATATGGAGCATAATCCAGTCAAGATTTACGCTGAAAAAGGAGAGAAATCAGTTGTGAGCAGGACCAGTAACAAGTCATCAAATATTACGTTGATGGCTTGCGTTAACGGTGCAGGTGATCGCATGCCTCCCATGTTTATTACCAAAGGCAAAACCAAACGGTCTTTACTCGGATTCAATACCCTTGGAGCGCCTGATAATTCTGTATGGACGTTTCAACAGAATGGATGGATAACAGATGACATTGCTGAAGAGTGGTTTGACACAGTTTTTCTGAACACTGTGGTCCTGATCGCCCGCAGCTTCTCATAATGGATGGTCATGGGTCGCATGAGAGTTTGGCTATAATAGAGCGGGCTATTGAAGAGAATATTGTCCTCCTGAGTTTACCACCCCATTGTACCCATTTTCTCCAACCCTTAGACCGCACAGTCTTTGGGCCGTTGAAAAAGGCATACAATGATGCATGTTCTTCTTTTTTGCAGGAAAATGTTCTACATGTAGTTGACAAATGGACATTTCCTGCTCTATTCTCACTTGCTTGGGAGAAAGCTGTGTCATCAACGAATGTACAAAATGGTTTTAGAGCCTGTGGTATTGTACCTCTCAATAGATGCGCAGTGCCAACAAGGGCCTTCTGTCCAAGTAAGCTTACTGATCAACCCGTCACTCGCATCACAAAATATGCCCGTTAAACAAGTTGTTAGTTCGCTTAAGTCTGTTATAGTTTCGGAAAATATCTCTTATGTACCAGTTGTCCCTCCACCAGAGCCTGTTTTAGCACTAGGCAATATTTCCATAGAGGAAGTGAGTATGCCGGCTCCGATCAATGAATCCCTCGAAGAAGTCACAATGCCTTTTACAAGTGTCTCATTCGATGGTGACAATCTGTCTTCTTCTGACAGCTCACTTGCTCCAATTTTAGATATAAGTGAACCTGGTCAGTTAATGAGTCTACTTGCTACCGGCGATGCCATTGTCATGGATATTATTCCTGAGGAAGAGGAAATTTCTGTTAACAGCAGCATCGACGCACTTTTTCTACCACCACAAATTGAAAAACGTTCAGAGTCTGTAGAAAAGCGTCGCTCTAAGCCGACAAGTCATAAATTGCTTACCAGCATAGAGGTTTTGGAGCAGAAACGGGCATTGATAGAGAAAAAATGTCAAAAAGAAAATAAAAAGGCAAAAAGGGGCCGTGCTCTGAAAAAAATTACAAAAACTGAAAAATAACTGACATTTCCATACAGTTTAATCCTGGATGAATCATAAACAGATTGATAATGAAAAAAACTTCCAAAGAGGTTGTTTTATTATTTTATAACCATACTCTTGTAGTACACATGTATATTTAAACTTTTACCCTGGGAGTGTTTTTGTACAAAATTAAGTTATTTGTGTATTTGATATTTAAGTCTAACAGGCATATATGAATTACTTTGCCTATAGTAATAATTGTATTTAACGGACAAATTAATGGGAATTTATACTATAGATGTTAATATTTGAGTAAATAATACTAAATAGTAAATGCACAAACTTTTATGTTCTAACAAATTTTTTATTGTCAATGAAATTATATATCTCGTGAATATATGTTGATGTGTTCTTTTTTCTATTTCCTATTTTTTTAAAATCGACCAATGTGTCCGTATTTTCCCTATCGCTAAGTTCTATGTCCGTATTTTACGTACCACCTGTCCGCATTTTCAGTACTGTGTCCGTATTTACCATGTTTCTACATGGAGCATAAAAAATATAAATACCGCAACGTTTTGGTCCAGAAACGCATTGGTTCAAATGAAAATGACCGAGGAATATGTATTTGCAAATAGCAACATCAACGAACATAACAGATAACGTAACTCTTCTGCCTATCAGAAAGCTTCTAAAGAACGTCATTCAAAATCTGTCCGTATTTACCGGGATTTACCCTACCAATGTTAGAAACTGATATAACATGGTATTGACCAAGGGTGACCATCATCTAGTAAATAAAAAGCTCTTGTGCACAAAATTGTTGAGCTACCAAAATAGAAAAAACAACACAAAAAAGATTAGCTAAAAATGAAAATTATATTATAAAGTGATATGTCTATATAGGAGTACAGGACAAATCTTTAGTGTAAAAGTGAGAGTGTATCTTGAAAATGAATCTTTAGACATTATTATAATGATTATAAATATGTTACCACTGACAAGTGACAGCTGAGCTTATTCTATTCAACTACAAAATAAACAAAATATTCACTGAATTTGCCCATCCTATTTTTGGTTATACTTTCTAGAAAAGCTAGTTTAGGTGAAAGCTGGATGATCCTTCCCGTGTTAATGTATAAG